ATAGAATTAAGAACAGCAACACAAGTTCATAGACAAGAACACAAATACTTATTTACCATTCACCATTCCGTACAAATCGTTTCATACCAAGGAAAATTAATAGACACTAGTTATGACAGCACTAATTAGTAATAACGCGACTCCAGTAAATGAAGACGGTAAGATCAAAAGACAATAAAAACGATATTAAAAAAAATAAAAATAAAAATCTTACTTAAAAATTGCATCTTGCAAAGTCTTCGGGTCAGTGTTGACAAGGCTATTACCGGTATATCCAATTGTTTTCAAAATTATGTCCAATAATTTTGAAAACAATTGGTGGTCGTTAATAAGGCCATCTGGCTGCCGACGATCGGTAGATCACGTGATCGAACCTGGCTTTAACAGTTCCCCAAATATGGTAAAATTCCTGACTGCATACGTAAACAACATAAAAAGTTTGTTTTTCAGTAGAGATAAGCCAATAGAAATAGATTTACCTCATACTTTACAAGAACGCACTAATCTTTACGCTTCGTCAGCCAGAATATTATTTAATCATATCTTTAAGCTTCGTCAGCCAGAATATTATTTAATAATAACGAAAAAAAGCGCCTTGATTTATCATTATTGTTTCGTTTAGCCAAGGTATGAATAATAGAACGGCAATGGCAATCACACAATATACCTACGCCTGTATGTGACTTGAACCATATGTTTATGGATTCCTGCAGCCGATGTTTGGAAAATGGGAGTTACAACGCCTACTAGGACTCATAACCCATGCTGTGAACATTCTAGATAGATTCGTTTAACAACCTCTTTCCGGTATATTGGAAATGATGAGTTTCCTACACCTGTATGTGACCTGGTCATATTCGTATGGATTCCTGCAGTCGATGTTTGGAAATTGGAGTTGTAACGCATACTAAATCTCGCAGCACATTTTGTGAACCTTCTAGATAGATTCGTTCAACAAACTCTTTCCAGAAACTCATTTTGTCGATGCCGTTGTTGTTATTCTCAAATTTATATATATAATACTAAATAATACTTATATAGATGGATGTTTCGACCGGAATTTCTTCTTATTTCAATGATACAGACATTGAAATGTGGTCCTTACTCGATTAACTCAAGTATTTATCAAGAGTGTGTTCACATTTGACATCAGAAGATCGTGAAGAGATTTTTGAGAAATATACGAAAACGTTGCACTCAATAACCCTTATGTAAATCAATGCATAAGAGAGTTAAGGATAAAGCTCATAAAATAAAAAAACTTTGCCGAAAAATTATTCCAACGCAAAGAGGTTACTTTGTTTTTCGAAATATTGGATACAAAGGTGTATTATTATTTAATCATCGTATAGTTTATAAACTTGTAAATATATATATATATACGTATATACGAATTTGCTTGACAGGCCAATACTGGTGCCACGAAGGACCTTACGGACTCGATAAGGAATTGATGAATGAAAGCGGAAATTTCTTTGAGTCAAGAATAGAAGCACGTGCATATGACAAGGTTACTGGAAGATATAGATACGGAAGTTGGTTGTTCATACAAACATCTCAGAGTATCGGATAATGAAAGTATAATAATGAACAAATTAATCCTCAAGTATAGTTTCTTTATTGATATTTACAACAAATAGCACCAATGATTGCATTTTTATAACAATTCCATTAGTTAAAGTGGAGAGTAAGATACCTTTGATGAAACAATTGAAGAACTGCACTCATGTAATTTTCAGCCAACTCCTCTTACAAACGTTTTACCTAAGACTTGTTCACAGCAAACTAGAGATGTGTTTCATGCGCATTTTATCCCATCAAGATTTCTTTACTCTCGATCCTTTTTTTTTATCATGCGATATCATGCGCATGCTATTATAATATGCGTATTTTTTCCATCACTACAGCAAACGATGCCATTGTTATTACAGCAGAGACAGTGCCCGATCCAAAGTGAATCCCTCTCGCCTGTGATTAATCACAAATTAAATTATTTATGTTTGATTCAATTGTGATGGATATAATCCCTCACCAGTTTTAATATATGTGTAACATTAACGGTCTCTGCTATACATTTTTATATATTTTGAAACAATCAATACGTAGGATATCAATGGGTATCAATTAAAATAATATGATTCTGATTGATGCCTATTGATACCTATTAACCTCTCTTGGCGCCAAAATATTGGTATCCTATTGGATATCATTTTACATGTGATAATTTTTTATACATACCTACCAGTGTTAGAGTCCTTTATTATAAGATGGGCTATATGCATTACAGCTGTTTTCACAAATTCTGACACCTGAAAAATGACCAAATTGATAAAATTTTGACATCAGCTAACGTCAGATTCTGACTCAACTTATCAATTTGGTTACCGAAAAATTTGTCATTATAGTGAGCTTTATTGTGATTGGCTGATTTTTGCAGATCATCTTTTCATAATAAAGTCTTATTAAAGTAACGATTTTCTATCACAAGATTGAATTCAGGCCTACGAATACGAATTCAGAAGAGGTAAGACAAAAAATTAGCAAGTTCACGCCTTACTTTATAAACTGCCAAAGTAATTCGTAATCCACGAAGTAATTCGGAAGTTAGATGAGAGGTACGTTTGAGCATTTCAATTTAGTCAATAAGTCATAAATATAATATACAAATCTATTAAGTTTAGTAATCTGTTTCTGAAAGATTTATTTTCGCTAATTTATTTTATGTTTTATTTATAATCCCAAGACAGGTACCACCAGTAATATAGTTTAGTGAAATAATTTAGTAACAAGTCTAGCAACGCGAAGTAATGAAATAATTTAGTAACAAGCCTAGCAATACGAAGTAATAAATGTGATATCACGTTGATTATTATTAAGGTCAAATAGTTTGATGTCTATAAAACTAATATTTCGATTAAAACTGATTTACATGTTTTTAATGTGTTCTTTGTACTTCTGCATTTTTATTTGTTTATTCTTTCTATTTTTTTTTAAATGCATATATGTATTTAGTGCTAGGCTTAGATTTTTAATTGTGAGTAGGGTAGGGTCGTTAATGGGTTGGGTTGGGTTGGGTTGGGTTAAGCAACTCCTCAACCCACTCCAGCTTGGGTTGGGCTCACTCCGGAGCCACTCCAGTTCACTCCAGAATTTTGGCATATCTTTAACCCACTCCAACTTAGGTTGGCTCACTCCGGAGTGGCTCCGGAGTATGCCACTCCATTAACAACCCTAATTGTGAGATATCATAGTAATGTTTTATTAAAGCCAATTTAGTCTTATCTAAAATAAAATCAGTCAATCACAATAAAAGCCCGCTATGCTATTTGTATCCAGTTTGTTTTCTGAGTGCTGTTTATCATCTGATTTCAATTATATTTGTAATGACTTGTCACGAAATATAATTAAAAGCGATTTTCCCTAGATGGCGAATTGGATACAAAATATAATTGAAAAATTGATGACAGATTTTCCTTGACGGCATTCATATGAAAGCAACTGGTGCACCAGTTATACAGAGTCTTTGCTGACGGAAATCAGAAGTTTCTAATAAATTTCGGCAATTGATACCCTTTTTCGTAAAAACTTACCCGAATGTTACATGAATATGCAATGTCCGATTCCCGTGAAACAATCGGATTTTTTTAATATAGAAGATATAATGCTATAGCAAATGTTCATTTTAACGGACAGAATTTCTCGACCAGATTAATGATTCAAACCGTTAGTTGAAAAACAACTAATTTACAACTTTCAAACGCAAAAATACCATTCATGATGGATCATCGGTACCGATCCTAATGGAGTTAAAAAAATTTTTGAGTACTGTTCCTAATAGGGTTTTAAAACGAACCCTAATCATACCTTTTTTCATATACTTCACTATAGTAGTTTGGTATTTTAGAGGCACCTTTTTTAGAACCCTATCAGGAACAGTCCGACTATCGGTATTTTTGCCTTTCGAACTATTGTGAGGTCCGAAAACGTGACCGATATCACGTGGCGTAGATCCCGAATGTCTGATATATCTGCTATTGTGCATAAATTCGATATATTAAACATGTTCGATATATTAGATAAATCCATGATGTAAATAGACAAGACAGTTTGTTATAAATAAAGGGCTTTCCGCCCAGGGGGAAAGCAACAAGCGATACCCCCAAGTAAATACATTTGCTTAAATAAAACTAAAATATCGGACCCATATTAAAAGTAAACTATAATCCAACCCAAACTAAAAAACAATCGTTAAACCATCGTATCCAACTATCGTTCGCCCATTATTAAATCACTAAACCGCATTTGATCGTCCGCCGTAAATCACGTGACCAAGCCGTTTACGCAAGAGAAGGACTCCAACCCGATTCGACGTTTCGTAACCCGAGGTTAAAGAAGTAAAGAGAGGACAAGAGAAGGCAAGGGTTAAAAGAAGGATAGGTTAAAGGAAGGACTTAGAAGAGAAGAATAGTACTTACCTAAGGATAAACCACTAGCCAAATCTAACACGCCTATTTCGACTTAGCCGCCGTAGGTTACACGAGGATTGGAAGGAATTAGCGACAGACTCGCCGATTTGCCGCGCAACACTATTAAGTCATCAACTAATTCAATTCCGAGATATTCTGTCTAGTCGCATTAATTTCTTTAGTCTGACTGGCTAATTGACACATTATATGCAAAATCGATTAGTTGCAACTATAGTTGGCAACTAATTGATTGGCAAAATTTTTGCCAATTTGAATCTTAAACTTAACCAAATGTCTAAATATTAGACTAAATAAATTTAGGGTCTCTATTTAAATCTATAATACCTATCAAATATACCGGGTTGGTGAAAAGTAACTGAACAGTGACATTTTTTTGATCGCTGATATATTATTGATTATCGCTTAACGCTTATATCAGTATTACTAGATATAATAATTATTGGAGATAGCAAAAAAGGTCATCGTTCAGTTACTTTTCACCAACTCGGTATATGGATATTATAGTTGAAGGGATACTATGGTTAACGTAGGGGGTACAAGTTGCGCTATATATATGAGTGCCACAGTAATGTTTTATATATTCTAAGTGATCTTTAGTACCCGGGTATTTTATATTCCCAAGTGAAATTAATCCATCCTTAGTACTTTACATTCTAGGCTTCCGAAAATCGTGAGGAGAGTCGATCATCATATGAATAATTGTTCGAAGGATAAACAATATGGTTACACAAATGTGGGTTGTTACGTAAACATTAAATATTTAGTGCGAGCAAAGAGATTGATTGAGAGTTTGCTTTTATTTGCAATGAATAACCCTATTTATAGTTATTATTATATTAGGCTCAAATTAGCTTATACAAAATGTAGTCATAATTTGTAATGCTACTAGAAATGTCGTAATGATCGAACTAATAACATTAACCTTTAAGCATCACGTAAATATAAGGTTGCGGTTCACTTTTCCGAAGTCTATTTTTCTGAAATACCATTTCACCGAAGTCGTAATACTGACAATCCATTTTACTAACAGGACAGAAATAGGTCTATGTCATTTCACCAAATATCAATTAACTGACAAGTTTATTTTACTGTAAAATGGATTTTCGGGTATTGCGACTTCGGTGAAATGGTATTTCAGAAAAATCGATTTCGAGAAGTTAAACCGGAATCAAATATAAGCTAGGCTACTATAAATCGACAACAACGTTGTAAATCGACAACAACGTTGTTGTTTCCTCTCATATAGCGCGATTCTTCGTCACGCTGTCACGCTGTCACGTGTTTTTTTTTAACAGAGATCCCGAATATGCACCGCGTAATATGCCTCGCGTAATGCACCGCGTAATATGCCTCGCGTAAGTGGGCATATTCGGAATCTCTGTTATTATATAACATAACAGTCCCCCCCTTTAAAAACAGTTACCACGCCCTTTTAACAACAGTTACCCCGCGCCCTTTTAACAACAGTTAACAGTTACCCTGCCCTTTTAACAACAGTTACCCCACCCTTTTAACAACAGTTACCCCGTCTTTTTAACAATAGTTACCCCTTTTTAAAAACCGTTACCCGACCCACCTACCCAAACGTTCTGTTATTAGCACAATAAAAAAATTTTTATATATAATAAAAAAAAATTATATATAAAAATATACGTTATACATTATATATATCTGAATAATATAATATGT